GTTTAAATGTTACTATTTACGACAACTGTTTAGCGACAACTGTTTAGAGATAAGTTTTTAGAGACAACTGTTTAGACACAATTATTTAAAGGCAACTAGTAACGACAACAGTTTAGAGACAACTGTCTACGACAACTGTTTAGAGACAATTATTTAAAGGCAACTATTAACGACAACTGTTTAGAGACAATTGTTTACGACAAGTTTTTAGAGACAACTTTTTACGACACCGTTTAGAGACAACTGTTTAGACACATGTGTTTAAAGGCAACTTTTAACTACAACTGTTTACGACAGCTGTGAACGACAAGTGTTTAGAGACAACTGTTTAGAGACTGCTGTTTTAAGGCAACTGTTTACGACAACCGTTTAGAGACAATTGTTTCCAGCCAGCTGACTACTGGAATTTCATTCCTGACATATGCTTACGCATTGATTTCGTTTTCATTGAACCCATAGGTTGACCTTGACATTGTTCTATTACTGAATTCGTAGCGAATGTTTTATTACGCTTCAAAGTGTCGTAAACTGATGTCCCTGCTCAACTTGTTTCCCTTTTGTTATTTTTTCTGAAGATCGCTCACAAAAAAAACAATAACATCAAAACACTTTAGAAGTCACTGTTCGGAACTCAAGCTGTACATATGACACGCATGCAAATCAAGGTCAAGGAAATCCATTTTAACTATCAAGGGCGCGAAGGAAACTTTGTTATTTGTAGTCACATTTAACCCTTTCACCAATGTAGACCATATTGGACCCCTCCATATCAATGCATGGTAGAGTCTACTAAAGTTACATAGGGGTGAAAGGGTAAACAATCAACCGTCTCCTGACTATTGACAACTGCAAGTACGTACATTGTACTAAAACCTGCTTCCTTATTGAAAGTGTCGGCCATCGAATTGATGGACGGCATTGGTTTCCGTCTTCGGAAAGTGAATATCTTATTATGCTTGAAATGGTCGTAACTTGTTGTCCCTGCTGAATATCTTGGACGGGTTTTTCTTTTACTTCCTGAAAAAATATATGAAAAAAGACTAGCATCAAAGGCGTTTTTTGTCATCGTTCGGTACTTATGCTACACAACACGTGACTCGCATGTGTATTAGAACGGTCAAGGTCATGGCATTTCATTTAACGAACAGTAGCATACATCTTACTGTTCACTGATATCTATTGTCACGTTTACATCCGGCTGGCTCCTGCCAAATATCAACTGCACATCGTCAACTGGCAACTGTATTTAACGCGTTAAAGAAGTAAAGTAATTTAATAAACGATGTTTGATGTGTTAGATACAAAAGCTCATATCGTCGGTCCTTCATTGGTAACCCCCTTAACTAGTGTTTGGGAATCTGGCCATCACTCTTTGCTTGGGTTCAGTGCGATGCATCGATAGAAATCCTCGGGAAATATGTAAGTAACTAAGGGTATCCCCTGTTGGTACAGGTAAGATATAGTTGGGATATTCTTTGATGTATTACTCCCGCAAGGCGGTCTCTGACAAAGGAAATGGTAAACAGCCAAAATAAGGGATGCATTGGCAAGCCAGTAAAAAGCGACGAATCCCGGCCCAGTCAAAAGAAACGACGAATCCCGGCCCAGTCAAAAGAAACGACGAATCCGCATAGTCAGGAGAAACGACGAATTCACATTCAAAACAAACGAATCAACAACGAGAAGTAATGAATCCGATGTTAATCGACGAAGTCATTGTACAATATTTATTGGCTCAAATGTCTAATTTGGAAACATTCTGTATATTCTAGCAAGCACAAAACAAACAAAAAACAAAAAACAAAAATCAAAACATCTGCGCTTGCTAAAAAGACCCCAATGGTTTAATTGGCTCAGAATCCCCACTATGTCCGTTTAGAACAGTTGTATCATTTTTGGAAAAGTGAAACAAAAGGGCAAACAGTTGGCAAGACATGTATGCTCATCATTTGAGCTTGACTCACACATTGAATGGAATTATTGCAAGGACGATAACAAAATGTCTTCATGATAAAAAAAAATCGAAATTAAGTTTACGACAATAATTATGCTTCTTATGCTAAAGCGTATTTTGAGAACAGGTGACTGCGGATTTCTGGCATCTGGTCGAATCTACGTACCGATTGTAATGCGATGGTTACCGTTACTGTATATTTATTTTCAATAACATTTTTAATATATTCAGATATTCCGATAGACAGTTAAAATATAGCATTTTTTTTTTTATATATATATAACAGGTGCATTTTCGCTTGAAGCGAAACTTGCTCATTCTAATATGTTGTGTTTGGGGTGAAACATTTTTGTTAACATAATAAGGAAAAAAAAAAAAGATTGTTTGCTAGGAATTTGTTTTTTGTACATTGTTTGGTATTAAAAATATTGTTGGATTAAACAATATTAATGTGTGTCCCTACTGAGCTTCGAACCCCTTTGTTCAGTCTTAAATCCAATCTAAGATCACGTGTTGTCTGTATATATGTCAGTTTCATATAAACCGTTAACATATATGGTTTAGTGGTCAATCCTATCAATAAAGAACATTATCAATCAGACAAGATTCCGTTAGATACGACTAGATGTATGTCTCTCCTCACGAGATATACTGTAAACGATACTGGGAGACATTATCGGTCACAGCAGACCAGGGGTGAAAAGATCAGTCGGATCGTATGTAATTGATCACACAGTATCGTGTCAAAACGGTCTGTCTTAATGCCTCTCGTTAATCAAGTAACGTGGTCACCCCACACAACACGCTGATGGATACGTGTTCGATTCCAGGAGATTATTTACGTCTGTACCATCGTCCTCAACAACCGGTTTGTCAGCCTTTAAATGTAACATGTTCGGGTAGAAATCCTGGCGGACCTGCAATTGTTTATGCTGGCCTTGCAAGGCCTTGTCAAGGCTCGCCTGAAAGCATCATCAGATAACTAGGTCTGACCTTATTTAATAAACGAACAACTGTGGTCCGAGCGGTTTGACCGTTTAAACGAAAACGGCCCATTGGTAACGAAACTCGTTGCAACCCTACAATAAACCTTTCAGTGCATGTTAGGTCACAAACAATTCCAAATTCCAATTTATTTCATCACTTGGCGTGATTGATAAAGGTTTTGTTAATCAATTTTGAGATTAAGTGTAATTTATTTTCTTGTCATTTTTTAGAATTTGTTATCATTTTTATACATTTTATCCTCAGAATTTCGTATTTACATTGCTTTTAAGGGGATATTTCATATGCATTTATCAATATTCATCTCATAATGAATCTTCGCGAAATTTCGTAAATGTAAAGGTACACGAAACGTAAAGAAAAATCCATAATATAAATGGCTGTTTTAGCATTCCTCATCCTCGATATCCAGGGGTTACGCTCACTTTCGCTCTCTACACCCCTGGACTATGTCTAGCATGCTTTGTCACAGTAGAAGAGTTTGTTGGAATATTTTAGCACATTTGACCCATGTATATTTCAATACTCATTCATGTTCTTCACCCCAACAATGTACAAATTAAACATCGTTACACTAGTCCACATCATGGTTTGCTAGAAGTCGTTGGAATTTTTTTAGCACAAATGACCCGTGACAAGCATGTCCATCATCCCAGTAAAGTACAAACTAGGTCGCATGATTATGTTACTTTTTGCAATGATTTAACAAATTGAATTGGTCATGTAGAATTGATAGACGCCAAAAATCATTCTGGACTTTGCCGAGTGACAAAGTTTTAATGACCTAGCTTTCAGGGTAATTTGGTTTGTTTGTATTTTACGTCCTTTTTATAGACATCGTCATTTAAGGACGTGTCATGGGTCCTTAGGCCATTACCTGGCGATTGCCCCACGTAGGCCTCGAACCTGGGACTAAGCGGTGGAGGGCTAGTGGTAACAGAATGCCAGATGCCTTCACCACTTTACCACTGTGTAAACACTTAGTGGCATCATTATCCACAGACTAGGAGCTTACAGTGTAAATACTAAATCTATGGAAAATGATGCCAATATAAAGACCAAACGAGGAGGGAATACTATTCATGATTTCCCTTGCACGTCTCCCTTACGAACATGGCTTCGGAAGAAAACATTTAAACGTGTTGCTCAGTGTTGCTAACATTCCATCAAGATGTCTTACAAGAGTCCTATTATACTGTGAGATGTGCTGTTTCCTGTTGCTTAGATATTTACACGGACCACGGAATAAAAAAAAAGCAAGTGTACAAACTGTTTAATATGTGTGTTATTAAAAGTAATTCAAGTTTTCCTTTAAACATACTTTACATGTCATTGCTAACAGATCAGTACCCATATGCATATCTACATGTATGTAAAATAAGTGGACTAAGGGCGACAACCGCTGCAAAAATAATGAGCTACTCATGGTATATCAGTTTTTGTCAAACTTTAATTTTCTATATCATATTATTTAACACGGTTCCCATAATGATGTCAAAAGTAACAATACATTGACATCATCTATTTACAGGAAAGGCTAAATGGCGCCGTTGTTTTTCTTAATGACGGAATGAATTGTGTTTACATACAACACACTGAAGGTTGTTTCATAAAAATCCAGTGGAATGGGAAAGTGTTTAAGAACCACTGCATAAAAACGTACCATTCCAAATGTCCCATACATGTAAAATTAAATGTCAAATTACATTCGACATCAATTAAGCCTGAGTTTAATTCAGAGTTTCTCTCCATACCAATCATACAATGTCAATTAGTTTGGTCCTATAGTTGATGGAGACTTACTACCCAAGTACCTACTGGGTTGCCATGGTTACCAGGAACACCAATTATCTGTTAGGTCTACATTGGCATGGTAACCAAGAACACCAGTAGTTACATTTATAGTTTTGGCCATGTTTGTAGTTACTGCACTACAGTATTCTAATAGTGTTCCTCATAACCATACGAGTATATTACTATACATTAACCAGTCGTTAATTTGGTCTTGAATTTGTCAGTGGGGCTACAAAGGACATTTTTATTTGTTTGGTCTAGGATGACATGGCTACTGGGAACATCAGTATCGAGTTTGACCAAAACATACATTATATACATGTATACCCACCCATTTTTTTTATTTTTTTTGTATACAGCAAAGAAAAGGTACCTTGCTCAATCAAATTAAAATCAGACCTCTCTCAAGACCGCTTCATAACCTATGCTGCCTCTCTCAGCGAAGGTAACGAAGCAGTCTTGAGAGGTCTGATTATGATTAGATTGACACCTTACTCTGTCAACACTGTGTTAATCATAATCGATTATTATAGTAACACACATCTTTGCCCTTAACTACGAGTTTGTCCATTCTACCCTCATATTCCGTAAACACTAATGAACACACATAGTCTTGCATTTGACGAACAAATTAAATGTATGCATTTAATTAATTCATTTTGAATTAATGTTTACAATGTGAGCAATGGACACAGCCTTAATTTTACATACATAAGCTGTGAACAATGGACATATATTTTCGTTGTCATGTTCAGTGAACAGTGTGGAAAAAGCTCTGCTTTTACTGACATAAACTCGATATGATTAATGTGAACACACTTTTACACGGTCATGCTCTCTGTATTTTAATGATCACACACATTGCCTCTCAGTTAGTCAAAAATTCAATGAACACACTGTCATGAACTGTGAACTAGTGAACTATGGATTCGACCATTTCCCACTCTATCGGACAGTTATGACTCTTCTGTTTAGATGGTGAATACACTCAATGACTATGAGCTTGACTCACTGCTATCATCTCTATGTCTGTGTTTTTTGTGTTTTGATTTCCGATGCTTTTTGTTCTTTTTGTGTTTTTTCTTCGCTTTTCTGTCATGTTCTGAATCAGAAGAGTCTTCATCATCATCTGAAGAATGTTTTTCTTTCTTCTTCTTTTTCTTCTGTCTTTTCCGCTCCCTATCTAGTGAGGAATCCGACTCAGAATCTGATTTAGTCCTTTGTTTGTGTTTATGTGACCGTCTGTCGTCTTCCGAGTCTGAAGTCTCATCCGAATCGTCCCTGTTTCTATGTTTAGACTTTTTATGTCTTGGAGACCTTGACCTTGACCTGAAAGATCAACAAGAAAAGAAATAAGTTCAGAGATTTAGCGATAAACTAGAACTTGAGCATGGACTAATATAATCTTTCCCCACCTTGAGGGTAAGACAGGAAAAACCCGAGACTTTGCAGATGACATGACTTTCAAGAATCTCGCCCTGAGGGTTGAGATTTTTCTGTCTTTATACTCCTAAAGTGGAAAAAGATATTATTTCTTCCACATCAAATACTAGTAATTTCATACCACACAAAATGTTTTCATAATTTCCAGCAAATTGGAGTTATCTTCCATGATCTGCTATTATTGACTTGACATCAATGCATTGTTGATATGATGTCATACAATTGTTATGGCAGGGGAATGCCCCTGTCTTTACGCTAGGGTAAGACCGGAAGTGTCGATTCTGTCTAACGGAGGAGAATATTTTGATTCAGACATGGACATGTCATCAATCAATTCATAACTAGTGCATATCAAGTAACAAACACACATACAGTGACAAAGAAAAATCACAGATTACCACAAAGTAAAGTTACACAATAACACATTATCAGACCATGTATGTGTACAACGTATGTAGCTAGAAGAAGTTGGTACATATATATGAATATATACAAGAACAATATTGAGTATATAAAAAATATTTATATTCTGTCAATATTTTTAAGAATACATAAGCATGGGTTAAAAACACCACATAAAACTTAATTGTATCAGATAATGTTACTAGCAGCTTAACATTCAAGGGAGGTGACTCTAACATAGAAAACAATATTTTTTAAACAGTATTTTTTTTAAATGCCATGTAAACTTCAACCACTGACTTTTTTTATATAAAGATCAACGGTACCATCTTACCCAATAGGTACTGATGAAGACTCGCTTTAAGAGTCGAAACTAGTCGGCCAATAAAACCCCACTAACTGGTGACGCCTGAGCTGTGTTGTGATTGGAACCCCGCCTGTTATATCTTACCCGATGAGTATAATTCTGATCGTGTATAAGCTTTTGTAGCCTTTTAGACTATCTTGTTTACTCTCATTTCTTTTGAAATTCTTTACAACTTTGAGATAATGAATTAACTGCTACAATGATTGAAAAAAGCAAAAAAACACATGTACTGAAATTTTCACCTTCTGTTGCTTTTTTTCTTTTTCTTCTTCTCAGTTTTGAAAAACTTCTTTTCTTTTGGCTTGTTACCTGTGAAACAAAAGAGTTATAAATATTGATATAAAATGAAGCTTCATGTCAATGAATCTAAACAGAAAACATACACGGGTACATAATTCTATACATTTTCAACACACATATCATGAAGTTTTGATAGAAACATTGCTGAACATTAGAGTGGTGTTTTTTTTATAATAGTCAAATATGATTTATGAACTAATTTTGAATGAAAGAAAATAAAAATGTGTAGTGCAAACTGATCCTGTGGGGACTTCCACCGGAACTGTGAGTCTAGAAACACTTACTCTGTTGGAGCTAAGTGAGAGGGGACACAAACTCCTCACTGGAGTCACACTTACTCTGTTGGATCTAAGTGAGAGGGGACACACACTCCTAAATGGGGACACACTTACTCTGTTGGAGCTAGGTGAGAGGGACACACACTCCTCACTGGAGTCACACTTACTCTGTTGGAGCTTAGATAGAGGGGACACACACTCCTGTGAGAGGGGACACACACTCCTGACTGGAGTCACACTTACTCTGTTGGATCTAAGTGAGAGGGGACACACACTCCTAAATGGGGCCACACTTACTCTGTTGGAGCTAGGTGAGAGGGACACAAACTCCTCACTGGAGTCACACTTACTCTGTTGGAGCTCAGTGAGAGGGGACACAAACTCCTGACTGGAGTCACACTTACTCTGTTGGATCTAAGTGAGAGGGGACACCCACTCCTAAATGGGGCCACACTTACTCTGTTGGATCTAGGTGAGAGGGACACAAACTCCTCACTGGAGTCACACTTATTCTGTTGGAGCGTAGTAAGAGGGGACACAAACTTTTCACACGAGTCACACTTACTCTGTTGGAGCTTATTAGTGAGAGGGGACACACACTCCTGACTGGAGTCACACTTACTCTATTGGAGCTCAGTGAGAGGGGACACAAACTCCTGACTGGAGTCACACTTACTCTGTTGGAGTTTATAGTGAGAGGGGACAAAACCCGTCACTGGGGTCACACTTACTCTGTTTGAGCTTAGTGAGAGGAGACACAACTCCTCACTGGAGTCACACTTACTCTGTTTGAGCTTAGTGAGAGGGGACACACACTCCTGACTGGAGTCACACTTACTCTGTTGGAGCTTAGTGAGAGGGGACAAAAACTCCTCACTGGAGTCACAATTACTCTGTTGGAGCTAAGTGAGAGGGGACACACACTCCTGACTGGAGTCACACTTACTCTGTTTGAGCTTAGTGAGAGGAGACACAACTCCTCACTGGAGTCACACTTACTCTGTTTGAGCTTAGTGAGAGGGGACACACACTCCTCACTGGAGTCACACTTACTCTGTCGGAGCTCATTGAGAGGGGACACACACTCCTGACTAGAGTCACACTTACTCTGTTGGAGCTAAGTGAGAGGGGACAAAAACTCCTCACTGGAGTCACACTTACTCTGTTGGAGCTCATTGAGAGGGGACACACACTCCTGACTGGAGTCACACTTACTCTGTTGGAGCTTAGTGAGAGGGGACAAAAACTCCTCACTGGAGTCACAATTACTCTGTTGGAGCTAAGTGAGAGGGGACACACACTCCTGACTGGAGTCACACTTACTCTGTTAGAGCTTAGAGAGAGGGGACACACACTCCTGACCGGAGTCACACTTACTCTATTGGAGTTTAGTGAAAGGGGACACAAACTCCTCACTAGTCACACTTACTCTGTTGGAGCTAAGGGAGAGGGGACAAAAACTCCTCACTGGAGTAACACTTACTCTGTTGGAGCTCAGTGAGAGGGGACACAAACTCCTCACTGGAGTCACACTTACTCTGTTGGAGCTCATTGAGAGGGGACACAAACTCCTCACTGGAGTCACACTTACTCTGTTCGACCTTAGTGAGAGGGGACACACACTCCTGACTGGAGTCACACTTACTCTATTGGAGTTTAGTGAAAGGGGACACAAACTCCTCACTGGAGTCACACTTTCTCTGTTAGAGCTTAGTGAGAGGGGACACACACTCCTCACTGGAGTCACACTTACTCTGTTGGAGCTTGGTTGGAGGGGACACAAACTCCTCACTAGTCACACTTACTCTGTTGGAGCTAAGTGAGAGGGGACACAAACTCCTTCACTGCAGTCACACTTACTCTGTGCAAGCTTAGTGAGAGGGGAAACAAACTCCTCACTGGAGTCACACTTACTCTGTTGGAGCTAAGTGAGAGGGGACACAAACTCCTTCACTGCAGTCACACTTGCTCTGTTGGAGCTTAGTAAGAGGGGACACAAACTCCTCACTGGGTTCACACTTACTCTGTTGGAGCTTAGTGAGAGGGGACACACACTCCTCACTGGAGCCACACTTACTCTGTCGGAGCTCATTGAGAGGGGACACACACTCCTGACTGGAGTCACACTTACTCTGTTGGAGCTAAGTGAGAGGGGACACAAACTCCTTCACTGCAGTCACACTTACTCTGTTGGAGCTTAGTAAGGGGGGACACAAACTCCTCACTGGAGTTACACTTACTCTGTTGGAGCTTAGTGAGAGGGGACACAAACTCCTCACTGGAGTCACACTTACTCTGTTGGAGCTTAGTTAGAGGGGACACACACTCCTCACTGGAGTCACACTTACTCTATTGGAGCTTAGATAGAGGGGACACACACTCCTCACTGGGGTCACACTTACTCTGTTGGAGCTTAGTAAGAGGGGAAACACACTCCTCACTTGGGTCACACTTACTCTGTTGGAGCTTAGTGAGAGGAGACACAAACTCCTCACTGGAGTCACACTTACTCTGTTGGAGCTTAGATAGAGGGGACACACACTCCTAACTGGAGTCACACTTACTCTGTTGGAGCTTAGTGAGAGGGGACACACACTCCTCACTGGAGTCACACTTACTCTGTTGGAGCTTAGATAGAGGGGACACACACTCCTCACTGGAGTCACACTTACTCTATTGGAGCTTAGTGAGAGGGGACACAAACTCCTTCACTGGGGTCACACTTACTCTGTTGGAGCTTAGTAAGAGGGGACACACACTCCTCACTGGGGTCACACTTACTCTGTTGGAGCTTAGTGAGAGGGACACACACTCCTGACTGGAGTCACACTTACTCTATTGGAGCTTAGTGAGAGGGGACACAAACTCATCACTGGAGTCACACTTACTCTGTTGGAGCTTAGTGAGAGGAGACACAAACTCCTCACTGGAGTCACACTTACTCTGTTGGAGCTTAGTGAGAGGGGACACAAACTCCTTCACTGGGGTCACACTTACTCTGTTGGAGCTTAGTAAAAGGGGACACACACTCCTAAATGGGGTGACACTTACTCTGTTGGAGCTTAGTGAGAGGGGACACACACTCCTCACTGGGGTAACACTTACTCTGTTGGAGCTTGGTAAGAGGGGACACGAACTCCTCACTGGGGTAACACTTACTCTGTTGGAGCTTAGTGAGAGGGGAAACAAACTCCTCACTGGGGTCACGTTTATTCTGTTGGAGCTTAGTAAGAGGGGACACAAACTCCTCACCGGAGTCATGTTTATTCTGATGGAGCTTAGTAAGAGGGGACACAAACTCCTCACCGGAGTCATGTTTATTCTGATGGAGCTTAGTAAGAGGGGACACAAACTCCTCACCGGAGTCATGTTTATTCTGATGGAGCTTAGTAAGAGGGGACACAAACTCCTCACTGGGGTCACACTTACTCTGTTGGAGCTTAGTAAAAGGGGACACACACTCCTAAATGGGGTGACACTTTCTCTGTTGGAGCTTAGTGAGAGGGGACACACACTCCTCACTGGGGTAACACTTACTCTGTTGGAGCTTAGTGAGAGGGGACACAAACGCCTCACTGGAGTCACACTTACTCTGTTAGAGCTTAGTGAGAGGGGACACAAACTCCTCACTGTAGTCACACTTACTCTGTGCGAGCTTAGTGAGAGGGGACACAAACTCCTCACTGGGGTCACGTTTATTCTGTTGGAGCTTAGTAAGAGGGGACACAAACTCCTCACTGGAGTCATGTTTATTCTGATGGAGCTTAGTAAGAGGGGACACAAACTCCTCACTGGGGTTACACTTACTTTGTTGGAGCTTTAACTAGTGAGAGGGGACAAAAACTCCTCACTGGAGTCACACTTACTCTGTGCGAGCTTAGTGAGAGGGGAAACAAACTCCTCACTGGAGTCGGAGCTGGTACTGCTGACATCCAATACCACATCCTTCTCTGGGTCTGATTTGATGAAGTTTCTGCACTGGAATGTTAGATGACCAGCTAGAAAAGATATGAAGATAATTGAAGATAAAGTAAGAAATATTGAAGCAATGCATCACAAACTATTAGCCAATCTGGTCTGAGGATATATGATCAGAACTTGATTGACGTTTATGGTTGATAAAATCCTTTCAGATAGTATATATAGGTGCCAACCTTTTACTGAATTCTTTCTGGTACCAAAGTTCATGAAGTTTGATGAGATTAGAAATAGTGAATTTGTGGAACAAAAATGAAACTGTTGACAAACAGATGACCAGACAGCTGATGTCCATCACAACCATAGCTGTGGATATGTCTGAACTCTCTGCCTTATACCTTCACAATTAATCAAAATGCAACTTTGTACCAACAGTAACCACAGCATGTCCATTCATAGTCTCTTTGGAAAAGTTGCACACTGCGTTTGGTGCATACTTCAATTAACGTTTCCTTGTATACCGGAGCATGTCCACATGCTTACTTTCCATACACAGATGAGAAGGTTATTTAAATTTAACTCTGTCAATGTTCCAGGCAATGATAATTTCAAACCAATTTCGGCAATAGCGGTTATTTCATCAATATGATTCCATTTTTGTGAGTCGAAAATATAGCAAAATCACACAGAACAAAAAAACGTTTTTTCGCAAAGTATGTGTAAAAAGCCATGAGTTCTGTATTTTTTGTTTGACTTTATGGGGAACATCATGTTTAATCATGTGAATTTAAAATCGTTGACAAACCCTATATATGTATACCCTGTTGTGAAAGACTGTTCCTCTTAAGCTACATATACTGTAGCTATAGTGTATCAGTATTAAATCAGCACAATCAGCATTTATATCAGATATACACAAAAAAAATCATATAATTTCGTATCAAAGCTAGTGCCCAATTTTTTCAAAGAGCTTCTGTGGAGGACGTTCTGACTTTCTGACCTCCCGATAAAACTAAAAGAACAAAAATGCTGATCACAGTTAGTTATTTCAGACTATTAGGTTTGACCTGCATAATATCGTATTTTATGAATTATTCAAAGTTGCTAGATTAATTACCATATCCACACTTTCTGCATGCAGCTCTGTTGCCATCATTGGTTTTACTGGTGAGCTTTGAAACCAGGCCTGTCAAACAAAATAACTGTAATTAATATAAGTAATCAAACTCCAACTTATATTACTCCCCATGCCATTACAACCAACATTAAGCCGGATATACCTGTCATAAACTTGTTCATGTAGATGTAGGTGTACAGGCTTAGTCTTGTTAAAGCATATTGCTTTTCCTAAAACAGTGGACATTTTATAACACGAAATTTGTTTTTATGTACCGAAATGTAGGGAAAGAACTGAACTTTACGTACTTACATGTCTAGACATTGAAACAGGTGCAAAAATGTGTTTGAATCAATATTTTTATGGAAAGACCGCGTAGAAAATACTTGATTCGTATCATTATCCAATCAGTTCCATACATACCATGAATATCCTGCATCCTGTACAGTAGCTGTACCACTATTCTGAAGCACGTTTGTGATCAGGACTGTAGTGTCCCCAAAACGTTTCAGGCGAACGTAGCGATAACTTTTCACATATGTGTGGATTTACCGCGTAACAATGAGTCAGGTTGTCACTTACTTTTAACTTTAGTACTTTATAGATATTATCTTTTTAATTTGGTGTAAAATAGTTTTATCTAAAATGCTTTTATTTTTTTATTTGCATCATATTTTCCTGTGTTTATCGGCTATATAAATGAAACTGAAAATAAGAAAGATGGCAGCTTCCATGGTTTGATTTCAGAACGTGTACATTTCGGATCGTGTAAAGAAAAAAAATGAGTAATATTTATATTCAAGAACCACCAACAGATGGAAAGGTAGGTCCATTTTAATAATAAATAGTCTTATATGAAAATAAATAAATAGGACGTTACACAGCAAATGAATTACACTGATATCGTTGATCAGCTGCTTACTTAAATTTTTAAGTGTCCAACGGGTACCTCCAACTTACTTGCTGGTTGTGACATGCGTTACTGCATATGTTTTTGTGCTCTGTTTTGCTATAGGACAGTGGTAACATTAAGTAATAGCGTTTTTGAATATCAGATAAATGGCATATCACAGTGTAGCCATCAGGCCATTGTATTAATATTTAACAGGTTTGGCGCATATATATGAGTAGTCCTGCATTCGGGTAACAGTTACCCATTTCAGTAATTATTTTATTTTATTACCCATATAGTCTTGCTCAAAATAATATATATTATATCAATCCCATGCCTTGTAATTAATTGAGCAAGCTTGGTGTGAATCATACTGCCACTGGGGTGATTTTAGCATTGATTGACACAGCATATGGGTCCACATCCATACACTGGTTTGTAATATAACCTTTTTTTCTGTTGATTTCCTATATTAAACTTGAAGTTAAATTCTGCCAGAAAATGTCCATTAAATCATAAAATTTTCGTAGCCAGGGCATCAAAAACTGGATTGACCACCATGATGGAAACTTTGTCTCCCGTCCAATATAGGTCAGACGTCTATATATGGGTGGCATATGACCCAATATGGTAATTGTAGTAAACATGGAGGCACCAGTATAGTACTATATTTGCCAATGCAGGACTTACATGTATATATATACATGAAGAAACGGTCTTCAGAAGCTATGTTTTTGCAGCTATCAGAAAGTAAGATATTGGGATGACCCATCTTGAAGAGGCCTCAGTTCCCATTAAACTAAAGGACCAAACTTCCGGAGGTAGACTACTGGCCTCGAACCACAGACTCAAAAATCACCTGCCCATCATTAGTAGCCCAACACGCTTTCCACTGCACTACAGACTTCCCAGTTGCATTACATTGTAAGGCTGTTGTCACATGGATCTGGCCTATGAAATACTTGTACAGCATTAGTAAGCTTATAAGGCAATCGACCATCATGTTGACTGGTTAATCGAAGCAGAAGATTTCCTGCTGTATTTTGAAAAATTAATGTATACCAGGAAAACTTTGCCTGGTTAAACTATCGCCCTTGACCAGTAAAATCCATATTTGCTGTGTTTTGATTTTGCCCCTTACATTTGCTTACTGTATATATTTTGTAGTGTACTAATGTTTACGGTAGGATAAATATGACCTCCTTATGGGGGCGAAAATGAAACTTCAGCGAACATTTCCCAGGCTATAGTATAATTACAAGTGTTTTAAGTTAATTAAGCAATATTATCTCACAAAAACTATTGGCATGTTGTAACTGTACTGTACTATATCCTACATTCTTGATATTGGTGGGATGGTTTTGTTTTCGTTATGAACCAAACCGAATCATCTCACCATACATGTATATCCATCAATATTACACAGTATAGGAGGCACATCCTTAGCGGTAAAAGGGATGCTTTACCTAATCATTAAGGGTTTGAATTATATGCAATTAATTGGCACATCCGTTTTATATCGGACTGGAATGTCATGCCAAACATATTTGATAATAGTAACATGTGAATAGCTGCTTCATATACATATGATATATAGCAGTTCATGTGGTTATAAGTATAATTGCAAACAAATATTTGAGAAAAAAGTTTTCCATTTGAACTTTGCAGTTGAGGTCTTGTTGAATTGTATATATACCTGGTCATGATCATCAAGTGATTCTGCTTTAGCACATCTGTAAATGTCGTTCTTAGGTAGTCCTTATGTACATCACATTAAATAAAAACCTTCAATTGCAAAAGCGTATTCAGGAACATGTGCCTGTATATGTAATGTCTATATATGATTTCTAAAGTCTGTTGCCAAATATTGATGTAGCTGATATAATTGTAGGTGTTGTTGGTTACCGGGGTCGGTGAAATTGACATCGAGCTGTGGTCCCGGGAAGCTCCGAAGGCCTGTCGTAATTTTGTACAGCTATGTTTGGAAGGATACTACAACGGTACCATCTTCCATCGTGTGGTGAAGGACTTCATAATACAAGGGGGAGACCCAACGGGGACCGGAGAAGGGGGTGAATCTATCTATGGAGCACCCTTTAAGGTAATCAGATAAATACAGACAGTGGAGAAAGAAAACTTGACAAATATGAAGAAGTACTGATTCTTTTAACTGAGAAAATATCAACACCAATACTAGTCCAATTTTACTCTGACACCAGACTTTAGACCTTTTGACAGATACAAAATGTAGATTTCCGGTGTGGGAAATGTCTAAAGTCTGGTGTCAGGACCAGAGGAAACTCGGGCTACTCCAATACATAAAACATCCCACAGCATCTTACCAGAATTTGCATTAAAACATAAACTTTCAACCTTATTGTTCAAATAGGATGAAATTGTGGAATTTAATTAATTTAAAAATTGCAGAATATGTTTATATATCTGCTGTATAATTACAGGATGAGTTCCACAGCCGACTTCGCTTTGTGCGGCGTGGACTGGTAGCCATGGCAAACGCAGGCCCCAACGACAACGGCAGCCAATTTTTCTTCACCATGGCGTCCACTCCTGAACTGCAGAACAAGCATACCATATTTGGAAAGGTCAGAAAAGTGGAATCACACGGCAACATAATGGTTAAATTCACCAACTTTAATTTGGTCACAAAGTAGCTCTTTATAAAATAGATAAATGCTGTCTACCAGCCTTGGGATTGGTCATTAATTTATGCCTGGAACCAATGAAATAGCTTTATACATGCCATTGATTCTATCAAAAAAAACATACTGGTGCAGGGTCAAGATATGCAAAATATTTCATCAATGGGATCATACTTAATTTAACAGTTTTTGACAATGGATTTATTTGAAAAAAAACCCAATAAGTGTCTTGTTAAAATTATGTAAAAAATAGAACAGTTTGAATGGTTATAATTTATATGCCATGAAGTTCTCTGAAATAAGGCATAATGATATTTGTGGAAGGCAGAGTGATGGCCATTGGGTATTGATGTTGTTTTGAGGCATTTTGCTTCAAATGATGAATAGTAATGTAGAACAGTTCATTGTGACAATTTATTGTGACTGCATTAATTTCCAGGTCGGTGGAGATACCATTTATAATGTGATACGACTTCAGGATGTTGATATTGACAGCAACGATCGCCCCACATACCCACTCAAGATCAAACACACCAAGGTACCATGCATTGACATTTGCATTTACATCAGTAACACCCATTGCACAACAAAACTGTCATTTTAATTTGAAATATTGTAATCTATAGCCATTCTCTCTCACTCTCTCATAGTTGTAAGTTCTGGTACATTTACTTGCCTTATTACCTCCCTTCAGGTGCTCTCTAATCCATTTGATGACATTGTGCCCAGACTGAAGACGATTGAATCTGAGGAAAGTGATTCAAAGTCGAAAAACAAGTCGAAGGGAACAAAGTGAGTAGAAACATACAATTCTAAAGATGCCTTGTTTTTGGGCTAATCTCAGGAATGAGAGCGTAACTGTGGTTTGTACTTTTTATCGTCGCCACGAAGTAGCAGAAGTGAGACTAAGGTGGTGCTTTTCTGGTGGCGGCGTCAACATTAAGTTTTTGCGTTTAGGACTTTATCAGCATCTCCATCAAGATTAAGTTTTTGCATTTTAGTTAGTTTCTCTGATACAAGTATGTGCATTGATGGTCAAAGTGCGGCACAGGCGAGACATATTAATCTGAACGGCTTGTTCCATTTCGAGTTGAGATGATTATTTTAGATTGTAACCAAGAGTTTTTGCCAAGTATCAAAAATCTGCCACAAATCAACAAGATTAGAAAAGTGTTTAATAATAACATACTGTCATAAATGTGATACGCTATTCCTAAAATAACACAAAAAGCTGAAGACGGACTTTACTTTACTTGCACATAATAAAAAACAATTAAGAAAACTAACTCCACTAGTAATTGCTAGAATAAGAAATTCTTTTTGTTGAGATTAAAAATTATTGAAGAAACCTACCAGGTATTTATGTAAGTCATAACCTAGAATAAGGAAAATATTTTGGTTAAGATATTCACAGGATTGATTCCATTGGTGTCTGTCTATCTAGGAACTACAGTCTTTTATCATTTGGTGAGGAAGCTGAGGAGGATGAGGAAGAAGTCTCTATGGCAGTCAAGGTAACACCTTACTACCGGGTTTAACTTTTTTATATATGCCCGTTGAAAGACGAGATGCATTATGTTATCATGTGGGCATGTGGGTGGGTGTGCAGGCACGCACAGTGTCTGCTTGTTATCTCCAGTAAATTTCAGCGGATTAACTTCAAACTTCATATGAAGGTTAATTACCATGAGAGCCCAGAAGAGTTTGATAACCACTGTATCCGATATTAATTTACGGAGTTATGCCCCCTAGAATCAGTGTAGTGAGTACAATAACAATTATCTGACCGTAATTAATAGACTTATTCCCCTTGGTTTCATTAATGCAATACTTCATGCATTCTGTGATGTTTTATTGTACTCATTGATGTACCAGGTATTTTGAATTTTTTCTCCTTTAACATCAATTACTCAAAAATATTTCATATATATTAAGGCTCATTCAATGTGTGACGGGCGTTTTATGTACCGTTTCCCAGTATTCTTGTTTGTTTATATGACACAGGATATGAAAGGCAAAAGTAAGAGTAGCCATGACCTTACAGATGACCCTAAGTTGAGTTCACAGCCTGCTGTATCGTCAGAGGATAAAAAGAGGAAGATGGACAGTGATGATGACAGTGAGGAGGAGGTTAGTACGTGTTCACTAAAATATAATACAAGTCCTTGCTCAAAGATAAGTCATCTTTGTCCCGTCTCTGGAAAGTCAAACCTATTGGGTGCTGAGATTACTAGGTCACGTGGGATTTGTTAGTACTTATTTCTGGGGTTTGTCATCACTTTACATAGCTCGTCATTGAAGACTGTGATATCATTGATGAAGACTGTTGGTGATATCATTGTCACATTGATGAAGACTGTTGGTGATATCATTGATGAAGACTGTTGGTGATATCATTGATGAAGTCTGTTATGATATCATTGATGAAGACTGTTATGATGTCATTGATGAAGACTGTTGATGATATCATTGATGAAGACTGTTATGATATCATTGATGAAGACTGTTATGATATCATTATGAAGACTGTTGATGATATCATTGATGAAGAATGTTATGATATCATTGATGAAGACTGTTATGATATCATTGATGAAGACTGTTGGTGATATCATTGTTGAAGATTTGATGATATCATTGATGAAGATTTGATGATATCATTGCTGAAGACTGTTGATGATATCATTGATAAAGATTTGAGGATATTATTGCTGAAGACTGTTGTTGATGTCATTGATGAAGATTTTTGATGATATCATTGATAAAGACACATTGTTTATCAGATATCTTCGATAAAAAGTATGCATAATGGCTAAGGAAAGAAGTCAAATTGGGAAAAGACATTTGAGCCATTGAGATTTTTTCTCAAAGAACCATTAATAATCCCCGTTCTTATAGGGTATTACTGAATTCATAGTCCCATAGAAATGAGGAGTAATTCATCCATTATAAAACTGTCCTGTTGCAATTCTCTTTCAGTCAGACGATGAAGAAGGTAACATATCTTTAAAGGAATCGATCCAGAAAAAGTTGAAATCCAGTTCTGACATAACGATGAAAGGAAGACATTCGATAGACCTGGGTCCATCTGATGACCAAGCTGAAAAACTATCAAGAAAGTAAGAACACTTAAGTAAAGCTATGTCTTAGGAACTGGGTCGGTGCCTGCAATTAAGTCTCTCCCTAATTTTGTCTCTCACTTCAAAAAATATGTATATTAATTTTTGCCCCTGAACATAAGCAAATTAATAATGTATATTAATCAAAGTGTTGACTGTTGTTTGTAATTACAAGCTTCTATTCTCCAATGTTGTGTGCACTCCATGTGACAGTGAACAAGATTAACTTATCGACGTGCCAAAGGCCTGCGTAGAAGTGACCAATGTGTGGAACCCCTGTAGAGGGGTCCAGTGGAATCCCCTTCCCTCAAATTGAAAAATTATCAAATTTAACCAATTACACTGTAATCAATATACACTTTCAGAAAAAAAATGATGTATTTTTCCTTGTGACTTTTTCATATTTTAACGTATGAGTATACGGCCTGAAATTAAATAAAAAAAAAAAACCACTCAAACCATGATACAAGTGAGAATGATAGTGTTTTTTCGTGGATAGGGGGGAATTTAGGGGTTACATTCGACAGTATTCAACTTCTCTTTTAACCACCTGATTTCATTCACAAGATTTGTATTGTTTTCCTTCACTTCGCTACTTATGAATCATTTTGTGTTCGCTGTAATGTACATGTGTCATGCAAATGTCATAGTGGATATCAATGTTATAGGGAACAGCTGAGGAAAGAAGCTAAACAGCTGGCAAAAGAATTGAAAGGCGGCAAAGAAAAGGATGAGAGTACATCAGAAAAAAAATCTGGGAAAATACAACCAGGTAGGTTGAAAAGTAGAAACAAACTCTAAAGTGTACCCGTCAGCTATGTCTAAGAAACTGATGACAGGAAATAAGTTAACGCTAACAGGCTATTAGTCTACTGATCTGTAAGATATGTCCAGTGAAACCCTTTTTACAGACATCAAAGGGCAGGGATGTTCCTGCACTTAGTTCACTACTGGTTAAATAAAGTGTTCCCCTTTGGAAAGGGAAGTGTTTTTCAGACAAGGGTAGTACCTCTTTTTGACATCTGCTAAAAATAACCCAATTTTAAAGTAAAGTTTTCGTCGTTTCCAACGCAGAGTTCCTGTTTTACACACTTATTTCATTGACAATGTTCAACATTAGTCACTTTCAGTTTTAAGTCATTACTATAGGATTGTTGGTAATTTGTTTTAATTTTCTAGTCTATGTGCTTGACCTATTAGCATGTGATCACCAACATGTCCCTGGTCTCAATTTGCTGTTAGATCGATCTCAATTGACCTTGCACCATTTTTACCTCATCATTTTTGTTTTTTCACCTAATTAATTAATAAGGATAGTTAACATTTTCTCTCGAGAAAAGCCCTGAAGGTATAGAGTGGATCATTTGGTCACATAAGACAGGACGTGAAGCTAGCCTTTGTTCGAAGTGGATTCATTTAGGAGCGGGCCCAGGTCAGGGCTTTGGTTTTAGGGACAAGGGGGAACAACAAGGAATGTTTTTGTTTTCTTTTGTTTTTCTGTTCGAAAATTTGATGGATTCACCTGCATACCAGTGTATAGGTAGCTACACACCTGTATGATTGTCACTGAAGATAATGTTAAAAACAAAACCAGTGTTTTGGGTAAATAAATCATGTAATATTAACTGTATTACTGGCTGTCCTTAGGTGTCATTAATCAGTGTTTTGGGTAAATAAATCATGTAATATTAACTCTATTACTGGCTGTCCTTAGGTGTCATTAATCAGTGTTTTGGGTAAATAAATCATGTAATATTAACTCTATTACTGGCTGTCCTTAGGTGTCATTAATCAGTGTTTTGGGTAAATAAATCATGTAATATTAACTCTATTACTGGCTGTCCTTAGGTGTCATTAATCAGTGTTTTGGGTAAATAAATCATGTAATATTAACTCTATTACTGGCTGTCCTTAGGTGTCATTAATCAGTGTTTTGGGTAAATAAATCATGTAATATTAACTCTATTACTGGCTGTCCTTAGGTGTCATTAATCAGTGTTTTGGGTAAATAAATCATGTAATATTAACTCTATTACTGGCTGTCCTTAGGTGTCATTAATCAGTGTTTTGGGTAAATAAATCATGTAATATTAACTCTATTACTGGCTGTCCTTAGGTGTCATTAATCAGTGTTTTGGGTAAATAAATCATGTAATATTAACTCTATTACTGGCTGTCCTTAGGTGTCATTAATCAGTGTTTTGGGTAAATAAATCATGTAATATTAACTCTATTACTGGCTGTCCTTAGGTGTCATTAATCAGTGTTTTGGGTAAATAAATCATGTAATATTAACTCTATTACTGGCTGTCCTTAGGTGTCATTAATCAGTGTTTTGGGTAAATAAATCATGTAATATTAACTCTATTACTGGCTGTCCTTAGGTGTCATTAATCAGTGTTTTGGGTAAATAAATCATGTAATATTAACTCTATTACTGGCTGTCCTTAGGTGTCATTAATCAGTGTTTTGGGTAAATAAATCATGTAATATTAACTCTATTACTGGCTGTCCTTAGGTGTCATTAATCAGTGTTTTGGGTAAATAAATCATGTAATATTAACTCTATTACTGGCTGTCCTTAGGTGTCATTAATCAGTGTTTTGGGTAAATAAATCATGTAATATTAACTCTATTACTGGCTGTCCTTAGGTGTCATTAATCAGTGTTTTGGGTAAATAAATCATGTAATATTAACTCTATTACTGGCTGTCCTTAGGTGTCATTAATCAGTGTTTTGGGTAAATAAATCATGTAATATTAACTCTATTACTGGCTGTCCTTAGGTGTCATTAATCAGTGTTTTGGGTAAATAAATCATGTAATATTAACTCTATTACTGGCTGTCCTTAGGTGTCATTAATCAGTGTTTTGGGTAAATAAATCATGTAATATTAACTCTATTACTGGCTGTCCTTAGGTGTCATTAATCAGTGTTTTGGGTAAATAAATCATGTAATATTAACTCTATTACTGGCTGTCCTTAGGTGTCATTAATCAGTGTTTTGGGTAAATAAATCATGTAATATTAACTCTATTACTGGCTGTCCTTAGGTGTCATTAATCAGTGTTTTGGGTAAATAAATCATGTAATATTAACTCTATTACTGGCTGTCCTTAGGTGTCATTAATCAGTGTTTTGGGTAAATAAATCATGTAATATTAACTCTATTACTGGCTGTCCTTAGGTGTCATTAATCAGTGTTTTGGGTAAATAAATCATGTAATATTAACTCTATTACTGGCTGTCCTTAGGTGTCATTAATCAGTGTTTTGGGTAAATAAATCATGTAATATTAACTCTATTACTGGCTGTCCTTAGGTGTCATTAATCAGTGTTTTGGGTAAATAAATCATGTAATATTAACTCTATTACTGGCTGTCCTTAGGTGTCATTAATCAGTGTTTTGGGTAAATAAATCATGTAATATTAACTCTATTACTGGCTGTCCTTAGGTGTCATTAATCAGTGTTTTGGGTAAATAAATCATGTAATATTAACTCTATTACTGGCTGTCCTTAGGTGTCATTAATCAGTGTTTTGGGTAAATAAATCATGTAATATTAACTCTATTACTGGCTGTCCTTAGGTGTCATTAATCAGTGTTTTGGGTAAATAAATCATGTAATATTAACTCTATTACTGGCTGTCCTTAGGTGTCATTAATCAGTGTTTTGGGTAAATAAATCATGTAATATTAACTCTATTACTGGCTGTCCTTAGGTGTCATTAATCAGTGTTTTGGGTAAATAAATCATGTAATATTAACTCTATTACTGGCTGTCCTTAGGTGTCATTAATCAGTGTTTTGGGTAAATAAATCATGTAATATTAACTATATTACTGGCTGTCCTTAGGTGTCATTAATCAGTGTTTTGGGTAAATAAATCATGTAATATTAACTATATTACTGGCTGTCCTTAGGTGTCATTAATCAGTGTTTTCATTGTACATGCATATGTAATAGGAGTGGAAAAATGCAAGGCCAGACCGGGTTCGAATCCGGGACCCTCCGAACTCTAGAAGGACGCTCTACCAATTGAGCTACCTCGTCGCCGACGATCGACCCAGTCCAGTTCCACTATACATTCCTCCCTCTTTTTTCTAAGTCTTCACCCACAAAGACACAACTGTTTACAACCCAAGTTCGGGTATCCACTTGTCAAGTATTCACTTAGTTCTTTAAACAAGGGTTGGTCAACGGCACCAAATGTAATAGGAGCAGAAAAATGTACGACCAGACTGGGATTTGAACCCGGGGCCCTCTGAACAGTTCAACTCAAGACTGACGCTCTACCAACTGAGCTTCCTGGTCGCCGACTGTTGACCCAATCGTGTTCCGCTACATTTATATATTTTTACCTGTCTTGTACAGGTACAAAATCTCCAGTTTAAAGATGTGTCCTCCTTTATGGTACATCTTTACATTGTGAAAGAGTTGTCTCTCTTACAATTATTTTTATTATAACTACTCATTATTATAAATGCATGTATTCTTGAATTTGGTATCATTGAAAGGGCAGTTAAGTCTTTATTACCATTCACTATCGATATGTCATAGGTTTTTCGGACTCTTTTTGATAGGAGATACATTGTTACAGCTAGGTAGCTTATATCCTTAAGTTAAGACTGTGAATATGTGTTGTCCAGTACAATTAATGTGATCAAACAATAACAGGTGATATTATGTGTGCATTATATTTTTCTTCCTTTTTACATTAAACCTAAGAACCTGCCAATGATGTTGTGGCTAGCTATCTGAAGGAAAAACAGAAGTACCAAAATATAAAGAAACAACAGAACAAGAAGGGCTCCAGTCGAGAGAAAGATACAATGGAACTTCTAGCCAAGTTCCAGAACAAACTGAAGTCTGCCAAAGTGGTTGGAGGAGATTATGAGGAGGAAGAGGAGGAGGAGGAGGGAGAGGAGAAAGAGGACTCCGGTGACATGTCCTGGTAAGTCCAGGGTCACATTCTCGTATCTTGGTTAAAACGGTTCAGGTGGCACAGAAATAAAGGAGGCACAGAAATATTCCACTATAAACGAACGCACTTGGACCAAACTGTAGGCAGTGCTACAAAATGCACAGTTTCGGAGAATGTATAACAATATATCAAGAATAGTATGTCGTTCTTTTATGCTACCACTAAATAATATAATGTATCTAAAAATCTACATGTGGATTGACCTTGTTTTATAAAGATTTCTTCTGACAACTTTATTGCACAATTTTTTAAAAGTGCCATTTTTGCATATTCAAAAATCAATTTCCAACAGTTCATCAAATTTTTACCACAAAACTTGATATAGTGATGTATACCTGTGTCAGTTCAAAACTGTATTGTTTGATCTGAATGACAACCATTTAAACTGGTTTGAACCAGATTCTTGAAAGGGGCCCAGATGACTTTCGTACGCAAACATTTGTAATTTTCGTTATTTTTTTACAGCTTCGGTTTGTGAACAAATCAAGAAAATGATGCCCTTTAGTTTTAGCCTTCATCACTATTAAGAAATAAGTGGCTTCAGCCTATTGATGTTCAAAGTAAAATAGGCCTGCTGCACCCATGGTATGCCTTGGGAAGTGAGGTGTAATTGGGAACTTAACTTTTTCTTTCTCATTAAAAGTAATGCCTAAAAAATTGCCGCAAGGCTTGAAAACATTAACAATAATCCACTAGTTAGTCTATTAGCCTTTTTGATTATGTAAGTGCACATATATCTCAATGTAGTAAATGATAACCCAAAGCCCCTGTGATATTGAACCATACATGTATCATATCTTTTATGTTTTTTAGGATGAGACATACCCTGAAGTTTGAATCGGAGGAAAGTAAGAGGAAAGTCATTGATGCCAATGTACAAGAGCTGGACAGATATGACTACTTTGACCCGCGAAATCCTCTCACCCAGCGGCGACGAGAAGCCAGCAAACAGGCAATGAAGGCGAAAAAATGAGACGATATATTGTTGGTAAACCATGTAGCATACGAGAGGCATACGTCTCTGGTGGATAAGTAATTAACCAACAAATTAGTACCTCACTATTCGATACCTCACCAATTTGTCATATCAAGAAGTCCCGGGAAACTCGCAACCACTGATTTTTTGTCAATAATTCATTCAGTTTTTGTTAGTTATATTTTTCATTCAGAACTTTTGCTTACTGAAGAAGCATAAATCAAGATATATACATGTTTAAATATATCCGATGATAAGAATATTATTTATTGATGACAGTTGTGAGTTGTGGGAGACTATCTTATATGTTATACCTCTGACATCTTTTGACCTCTAAGTTGTTTATTCCGGAGGTATTTAAGGGGACGAGGAAGGAGTTGTGACATACGTATACCCTACCTGTCTTGCAGATCAAACAACCCAGTTTTGAACTGAGAAGGTTTACATCACTTATCAAGTTTTGTGGTAAAAAACATCACTATATCAAGTTTTGTGGTAAAAAATATCACTATATCAAGTTTTGTGATAAAAATTGACAAATAGTTGGAAATTGATTTTTATAAATGCAGATATGCCACGTATACTTCTAAAATTGTTTTATATCGTTTTCATAGTTTCTGCTTCTTGTTAAATAGGACGCAAAACCCAGTAAACTAAACACACCTGACACCAGAGGTATTATAATGCTGGGAAGTATATACATTTTCGTATCTATGTATATTTGTGTATGTTGAAAGGAAACCTCATAGCGGTTGAAAGAATCCTCAAGAGAATATCTGTAAAAATCATACAATTTCTGACAATACGTATGTAACAGGAGCAGAAAAATGCACGGCCAGGCCGGGATTCGAACCTGGGACCCTCCAAACTCTAGACGGACGCTCTCAACAATTGAGCTAACTGTACCTGGTCGCCGGCGATCGGCCCAGTCCAGTTCCGCTACGCATATAATTCAGGGTATTGTTTTAGAGGGTTGACATGTCTAACACACCATTTAAAGTTGTAAACAAGTTAACACACGATCTAGGTTTGACACTAAACAAGTGTAACAAAGGATCTCAGTTTGAAATTTCACAGGTCAAAAACGTTAACAATGCCATATATAGTTTGACAACTAACAAGTTTAACAGAGGGTCATTGTTTGACACTGATCAAGGCTAACACACGGTTTCTGTCTGTCATTTAGGTCCAGTGACTCTGATTTCAGTGAGAGTGGATTATCATTATAATACACTGATCCAGTCTTTAATGAGAAAGTTGTCCCATCAGTAATATTGTTGTTCAGATATAGAGAAGATTTATCATTTAAGTCCAGTGACTCTGATTTCAGTGAGAGAGTGGATTATCATGATTTCTGTGAGATATTGGTTTTATGACAATTTCTGTGAGCGGATTTATCGTGATTTCAGAGAGAGAGAGAGAGAGAGAGAGAGTGTTTTTATCACGAATGCAGCAAGAGATGAGATTTTTAATGATTTTGGTGAGAGAGTGGATTAATCAATATCAAATTCGGTATTCGTGGACTTGTGAGCATTTATGTATTGTTTGTTTAACAGAAAGTATTAAAAGTGACTTTTTATACTAAAATGAACATGCCTCAGCATTATCTTATTATTGTGACAACTTGAAATTTTCTTGGAATTAACAACTTAATAATACAAAAGGGCAGTCACTGTCACTGTGGTTGTGGGAAGTTTAAAGATAAAATATGTAATGGGTTTTGAGATATGCTCCGGAACAGTTGGGAAGTGACTGATCTATGACACACAAACACACAGAATCCCTTCAGTTACAGCTATAGAACCCACGTTAAAACCAAAAGGTCAATCCAACATAAACACATAACTGTCATTCAAATTAAAGTTGACTGCATTAGTTCAGAATCACCTGATTTGAGTTTGAAACCAAAATTCCAACACACAAAATATGAATTGCAAACACTTAACACCTCGCAAAGTTATTATCTGTGTCCTCAACTTCTGGGTATACAACATTGTCATTTGGCAAACTGCTACCATGCTGAATGGCTTGTTAAAAACTATATGTGTAGTTGTCAGACACAGCCGTTGATAGAAATTATTTGATCTATGGAATGAAACAATCCAGGAAAAAGTGTGAACAACAGGCAACAGGGCGAATCTCTACCAAACATCAGAATTTATAAATAAATTCCAATGTATGGAAGATACATTGAACATTGACATGTCAATGTTGCTCCAATAAGTTTCGATGTTTGGAAGAGATTTGCCATGTTGTTCGCACTTTTTCCTGGATTTTTACTTACACCAGTGTGGACTCTGTATACCTTCTTGGTATCCACGGTATAATCGACCCAAGATATTGAATAAACTTTACTTATCTAGGACGTTGTGTTTCCCCCCCCATTCTATGGAATGTCAGATGAAAGGTATTAGATAATTAAGACATACAAATGTAGAGCTCTCTCTTTAATGTTTAATGAAAGCAATCTATGAAAACAATTAACAGCCTTTTTCAAAGTTTTCAATTATATTATATATAACAACCCAAACAACATGATTCCATGAGTACAGACCAATTAAGTACCATTGTAACGATAAACCTGCATATTTTGAACATAAAGCTTAACAGGCATAAATAACATTACTCTCATACATTTGTATGTAACATAAGAGACGTTGATCCAGTACCTGGTATAAGAATGCAGACAGGCAGTTATGCAAGAAAATTCATTCCATTACAATCGGACATTCATTTTCTCATAGCCAATCATGATGAGAGTTTGAAGAGAATCACATTTTTGATTTATGTCATTTAACTCCTTATATATGTCAACAGACAAATCTTTTTAAATGTTACAAAAAAAAAAATCCCTTCTGACGCCTTTTTTTTTATATATATATAATTTCATTAAACACGTTATAATCTGTGTTCTAAAATCTGACATTTTCCCTTTCTGGAGCAAAAGTGATTTTTGGTATTTCATAAATGTTGAAGACATGATTGTACATCAAACAGAAGCCCTTAATCAAAGTAAAAATAATGATATGGTTGTTTTGATTGATTTATTGTTTGATCACATCAGCATGACTTGTGAACATTTGCCTTATATACATGTAATACATGAGTTGATCAATATTTATATGTTATACATATAGGATCTTACACGAGTTTCCAATTCATATGAGATTGATGAAACGAGTCTGAAGATTTTTTTCAATTTAGCAAGCTAAAATGAAAAACATTTGTGACGAGTTTCATCAATTTCATATGAAATGAAACGAGTGTAAGATCATTTTTATCACATAATCAAGATTTGTGGAATTTATTCGTGTTATGGTAAATGTATAAATCTGAATAACTCATTCACCCCTGAATTTCATAATGAACTATTCCAACTATTGAATGGGAAGAGTTCAAATCTGTCTTCAGGGGTGAATGAGTTAAAGTTTTGTCTCTATGTTGTTTTAAACTTATACTTGGTTTTGTGAAGTATACTACATCTTTATTATTGAATCAATGCATATTATCATTTTCTTCTTTTTTTCAAGAATCTCCGATTGTACAATAAAAAACACTTGGTTGAGATTCTTAAGCAATGTACGATACTATCAGATTATTCACATCCTAAGATGTTCTGAAACCCTGTATTATATGATAAGAGTTTTCACATCCTATGATACTTTTGAAACTATGTACATTATTCATGACAAAGTTTTTTTACATCCTACGATCTTCTGAAATGATGTACGATGTGATGAGATTGTTCATGTCTGACAATCCTCCTTTTCTTTTTCTTGAGCAAGACTGGAATCAAACGAGAAGCATCATATATATCTCTTCAAGTAACCGTCTGAAGCTATAGCCTCAAAAGACATGTTATAGTCTAACTGTATACCCTTAAAATGTATAGACTAAATTTATACCCTGGAAATACATGTTATAGTCTAAATGTATCCCCTTAAAATGTATAGTCTAAATTTATACCCTCAACACACATGTTATAGTCTAAATTTATCCCCTCAAAAGACATGTTATAGTCTAAACTTATACCCTCAAAAGACATGTTATAGTCTAACTGTATACCCTTAAAATGTATAGTCTAAATTTATCCCCTCAAAAGACATGTTATAGTCTAAATTTATACCCTGGAAAGACATGTTATAGTCTAGATTTATACCCTAAAAATTTATAGTCTAAATTTATACCCTGGAAAGACATGTTATAGTCTAAATGTATACCCTTAAAATGTATAGTCTTAATTTATACCCTGGAAAGACATGTTATAGTCTAAATGTATACCCTTAAAATGTATAGTCTTAATTTATACCCTGGAAAGACATGTTATAGTCTAGATTTATACCCTTAAAATGTATAGTCTAAATTTATGCCCTGGAAAGACATGTTATAGTCTAGATTTATACCCTAAAAATTTATAGTCTAAATTTATACCCTGGAAAGACATGTTATACTCTAGATTTATACCCTAAAAATTTATAGTCTAAATTTATACCCTGGAAAGACATGTTATACTCTAGATTTATACCCTAAAAATTTATAGTCTAAATTTATACCCTGGAAAGACATGTTATAGTCTAGATTTATACCCTAAAAATTTATAGTCTAAATTTATACCCTGGAAAGACATGTTATAGTCTAGATTTATACCCTTAAAATGTATAGTCTAAATTTATACCCTCAAAAACATGTTATAGTCGAAATTTATACCCTCAAAAGACATGTTGTAGTCGAAATTTATACCCTCAAAAGACATGTAGTCGAAATTTATACCCTGGAAAGACATGTAATAGTCTAAATTGATACCCTGGAAAGACATGTTATAGTCTAAATGTATACCCTTAAAATGTATAGTCTAAATTTATACCCTGGAAAGACATGTTATAGTCTAAATTTATGCCCTCAAAAGACATGTTATAGTCTAAATTTATACCCTCAAAAGACATGTTATAGTCTAAATTTATACCCTTAAAAGACATGTTATAGTCTAAATGTATAACCTTAAAATGTATAGTCTAAATTTATACCCTCAAAAACATGTTATAGTCGAAATTTATACCCTGGAAAGACATGTAATAGTCTAAATTTATACCCTCAAAAGACATGTTGTAGTCGAAATTTATACCCTCAAAATGTATAGTCTAAATTTATACCCTGGAAAGACATGTAATAGTCTAAATTTATACCCTCAAAAGACATGTTATAGTCTAAATGTATACCCTCAAAAGTTACTTATTCTGAATCCTTACTGATTAAGGAACTGAACACAGTCATGATGACCATATATGGCTGCAATGTCCCTAGGGGTGTCGCCATATTTATCGGTGAGGTCTAGGGGAACACCAGCGTTGTGGAGAGCTCTCAGCACTGTCAGCTTGCCTGTTTCTCCGGCACAATGAGCCGGAGTCCATCCTGAGTCTGTTCGGATCATTCCGTCTGCTCCATGTTCCAGAAGGATGCGTATACACTCTACGAAACCTACAGTGGAAATGTTCTCTACGTCAGACATATGACTTGATACTTCGTAAAATGGATCCGATTCACTGATCCTATCACCAGTTTAAAAATACTTCTTTAGCTAAACCTTAACCTTACTATTGTAGGTATCCTTTCATTATATTACATACAGTCAAACCTACAGTGGACTACATAGAGTGACAAGTTGGAGTGGACAAGTTGGAGTGGACAACATGGAGTGACAGTTGAAGTGGACAACATAGAGTGACAAGTTGGAGTGGACAACATGGAGTGACAAGTTGGAGTGGACAACATGGAGTAATGAGTTGGAGTGGACAGCATTGAGTGACAAGTTGGAGTGGACAAAATGGAGTGACAAGTTGGAGTGGACAACATGGAGTGACAAGTTGGAGTGGACAACATGGAGTGACAGTTGAAGTGGACAACATAGAGTGACAAGTTGGAGTGGACAACATAGAGTGACAAGTTGGAGTGGACAACATAGAGTGACAAGTTGGAGTGGACAACATGGAGTGACAAGTTGGAGTGGACAACATGGAGTGATGAGTTGGAGTGGACAACATTTGAGTGACAAGTTGAAGTGGACAACATGGAGTGACAAGTTGGAGTGGACAACATGGAGTAACAAGTTGGAGTGGACCACATGGAGTGACAAGTTGGAGTGGACAACATGGAGTGATTGCTAAAGTCCAGTTCTGCTACAATTATAACCCAGCAGAGGGTGGTTACCGCTAGATACACTCTGATAGAGAGTTGTTGAATCTCAAATTAGAAAGTGCCTAAAGAGTTATATTTACTATTGTTTGTTATCAGTAAAAGTCCTTTACCTCTCAAGGCAGCCCAGTGTAGAGCAGCACGGTCGTTCCAGTCTGCATCTCTCAAATTGACGTCATACTTGTTGGTACGTAAATACTCGACTAAAGAGTCAGCATCACCTGTCGCTGCAGCCTCGTGCACCTCCAACCCATCTGACACGTGCATCTAAACACAAGCAAATAGGTGGTGTTATATTTAAATATAAAGGTACCAAACGTTTTCAACAAACTTCTTGGGATTTTTAAGATAGACAATGTACATATTAAGTTTTCTATAGTAAAACATGTTTATGACAAATTATGTGACATAAGGCATCAGCTCATTATAGCCATAACTTGATATATAGAGATGATTACATAGAGATATAAACACATGCTTTTTTACTTGCAAAGATATGTTCATAATAGTTTTACTGCAGAGAGGATCTCAAACAACTATATAGAGGATCTTATTCTCAATCTGATTTATACAGGATTTTACTTTATATATGTACTTATATAACAACTGAGACATAATGAGATGTGTATATTAATAAACAACGAAAATTATTGTTCTCATGCACAGATAGGAGGTAGAATGATATTTATTGATATATTTAATATTGTAGTTTGATATGGACATCTGTAATAAAGGCAGAGAATCTAAAAACTATTTTACACAGTTTATCTTTACTATTTTTCAAAAGGCCATAATATAAGTTTTTGACCCTTTCAACCCTATGTAACTTTAAGTAGACTCTACCATGCATTGATCTGGATGAGTCCATTATGGTCTACAGTGGTGAAAGGGATAAGGATCCCAGTACCACCATCAAAAACTGTAACTTAATGCATTGGAAACTGTTTTTTTACAGCATGACTGTTACTTTGTTAACTTATTTCTGAAAAGAAAAACTTTTTTTTTAATTGCAATTACTTTAATGAAAAAATGATAAAGACGATATACACAATATTTATCACATAATGTACTGTGTTATCCAGTGAATATACCCCGTCATATTTGTTTGCATATTAACCCATGTAATATGACCTATCAGCCCTGTGATTGGTTGAAAGTTTGAACTGTTTCAATTGTGACGTCACACCTAGGACAAGTTTATGACGTCATAGACTTACGCACTGAAGTCAAAATGGCAGCTTTTTACATTTCAAGGTTGCATGAAAATTGTCGTTTCACACAAATAAATGCCACAAATTTTGATTAAATGTGATAAAAATGATCTTACACTCGTTTTCATTTCATATGAAATTAATGAAACTCGTCACAAATTTTTCATTTTAGCTCGCCACAGGCTCGCTAAATTGAAAAAAATCATCAATCTCATATGAAATGGAAACTCATGTAAGATCCTATATAATCAACAACAGTGTTCTGTGTGTAAAAATTCAGCGGGGATAGACGGATATTCGAACACCAGACTTAAGACCGATATACAATCGCTCTAACCGATTGAGTTACCTGATCAATGGATCTGTCCTTGTCAAACTATGCTTACATCCAAACGGATGTTAAGGGGAGGTAACCGTATATACGGAAAAAATGCAGAGCAGTGGTACAGGCCGGGATCCTTAAAATGTTCTAAAACATTGTGATCATTACTAACTAATCTTAATTCATTATTGATTACATATTTCTTATTCAAAGCAAATGAATGATGGTGATGATGATAAGCCATTTCAACATAATAGAAACATGCAATTATTGCTAATTTGCAATTAATTTTGGCAGCTGCATAAGCCATATAGCTGAACATAACACTACCTTCTTTTCATCTCTAGACATTTGGGTCTAGTGGTACCAAGCACTTAGGTCCACAGAAAACAAGGTTGTCACAACCAGGTCCTGTGAAGAATGTCTGCCTCGTCCTTAACACAGGTCTGCTGTAGTAGATGGTGACTAAGTCTGATAGTGAAGATTACTCAGAAAATGTTATTGAAGCTGCAGAACCAAACTAGTGATGCTGTGCAAAGAAAAGTAAGCTTTGTAACTAAGTGATAATATCAGTAGTAATACCATCCCACTGTCACCCCACATAAACAACAGGTATTCCTTCACTGTCACCACACATCAACAGCAGTTATTCATTCACTGTCATCCCACACAAACAACACTTATTCCTTTACTGTCACCCCACATAAACAGCAGGTATGCCTTCACTGTCACCCCACATAAACATCAGTTATTCCTTCACTGTCACCACACATAAACAGCAGTTATTCCTTCACGGTCACCACACATAAACAGCAGTTATTCATTCACTGTCACCCCACATAAACAACAGGGATTCCTTCACTGTCACCCCACATAAAAAACAGGTATTCCTTCACTGTTACCCCACATAAACAACAGTTATTCCATCACTGTCGCCCCACATAAACAGCAGGTATTCCTTCATTGTCACCCCACATAAACAACAGTTATTCCATCACTGTCGCCCCACATAAACAGCAGGTATTCCTTCATTGTCACCCCACATAAACAACAGTTATTCCTAGTGTCACCCCACATAAACAACAGTTATTCCTTCACTGTCACCACACATAAACAGCAGTTATTCCTTCACTGTCATCCCACACAAACAGCAGGTATTCCTTCACTGTCACCACACATCAACAGCAGTTATTCCTTCACTGTCATCCCACACAAACAACAGTTATTCCTTTACTGTCACCCCACATAAACAGCAGGTATTCCTTCACTGTCACCCCACATAAACAACAGTTATTCCTTCACTGTCACCACACATAAACAGCAGTTATTCCTAGTGTCACCCCACATAAACAGCAGGTATTCCTTCACTGTCACCCCACATAAACAGCAGTTATTCCTTTACTGTCACCCCACATAAACCGCAGGTATTCCTTCACTGTCACCACACATAAACAGCAGGTATTCCTTCACTGTCGACCCACATAAACAGCAGTTATTCCTAGTGTCACCCA